TCTCATCTCATGTTGAACCTACACACTATAATGAAGCCATGAAACATCCTTGTCCAGAAAGAATTAGATGCCCTAAAGAAAAATGGGGCATGGATCATAACCACTATGCCTAGTACTAAGAGAGCTAGGGAATAAGTGGGTTTTCAAAATTAAGTATATGTTTGATGGATCTATTGAAAGACACAAAGCTATATTAGTTGCAAAGGAGTTCACCTAAAGAGAGCTAGGGGTAGATTATCAAGAAACTTCCAGTCCTGTAGTTAAAATGACAACATTAGAGTGGTTTTATCTTTAGCCCCTGCTAACAAATGACATTTACACCAACAAGATGTTAATACAACCTTTCTTCATGGTGATTTAAATGAAGAAGTCTATATGAAAATATCACCTAGTCTCACTGTGGAACACCTTAGTCTTGTTTGTAAGTTAGAAAAATCCCTCTAAGAACTTAAACAAACTAGTAGGTAATGGCATAGAGTCCTTGTTAAATCTGGATATTCAAAATCCAAAAGTGACCATTCACTTTTTATTAAATCTAATTTCTCATAGTCAGTGTTATTCTTGTATGATAGAAATAAACCACATGAAGAAGTTATTAGATTCTAAATTCAGTATGAAAGATTTGGGAGAATTAAAGTTCTTTCTAGAAATGGAGATATCAATGTTTGATAAAGGCATCCTCCTATATCAAAGAAAATATACTTTAGATTTACTCCAAGAGACAGGAATGCTTGCTTCTAAACCTAGCTCCACACCGATGGAGTATTCTTGCAAACTTACTTATTGGGATGCTTTAAATATGTTATTGTATTAGTCTCACTTTGTCTAATATTGAAATAAAGTAGAGTAACCAATGTTATATATTGGACTCAAGTCCCTTGTTATAATGTGCACCAAATAGAAACACCTCGTGGGCACTTAGGCCCATGGATATGGTAGAACTTGTAATCGTTATTCTCTAATAATATCTTTGTAGCCGCTCAACTTTCTCGGGGACGTAGGCACAATTGGCCGAACTCCGTTACCAAATTCTCTTGTTTATTCTCTTCTAATTATTCTATGCACTTTATTTGATTGCTTGTGACCAACGCTGCACAACGATCGCTTCTACTGCACCAACAATTGGTATCAGAGGCCAAGTTGGTAGATGACTCTTAACCTAGGTGCTAGATAATGGCAAAAGAGGGCGAAGACCTGTTGGTTAGACAAGGTGCGCCAAAGGTATTACACAAGGATAAAGAAGATGAGTTGAAGGAGAAGAAAATATGACAAAATTATGGCGGGGCGATATATGTGTTGATCCAGAATCCTAGAAGTCAATGTACTATATTAGGATCAAGGTGGAGATAGGACTCAAGTGTCGAGTTAGCTCCTAAGACAAATGCTGACATTATCTCTCGATGTTGGAGATGATGATCTCATTTCATATGAGAAGTGGGATATCCTAATGATGTGTCTGCGACGTCATAGTGACATATAATAATTGCTAGCAGGTCCATAAAAGTACAGAGGCGTCGGCTGACTTTGATGTAGGGTGTAACATGGACATTGGTAGAGATGCAGGATGTGACATGGGAATTAGCTTGGATGCAAGGGTGTGACACGAGTATTGGTTAGAATTGAAGTAAGGTGCGTGTTGTGTGTAAGAATGAGATTGCAACTAAGGGGGGGTGAATTAGTTGACTTAAAAGTATGACCACTTTTTCTGCAAAATCAAGAGTTTAAGTGCAGCGGAAAAATAATGCAGAAAAATAACGACCAAAAATTAAAAGGATAAAGGAGAAGAGAGTACACAAATGTTTTATGATGGTTCACCTTCTTGTCCATCGAATGCTAAGTCCAGTACTCTTGCAGCACAAGACATTTCTTCACTAAATATTATGAGTTGTAATTACAATATCTCATCTCGAGATCTCTATGTACCTTATACACTCACTAATACTTAATCACCATTGAAAAAACACATTTCCAAGTAACTCTATCCCCTTTCTATTCACACCCTTGTGAAAGAAAGAATTCTTGCAAAATGAAGAATTTACAACAATGGCAGGATTGCCTTTACAAGTTTGATATAACAATTATAACTTGCAATCCAACAACTCTTGTATACTATAAGTAATAATGCTATTTGGAAGTTTGAAAAAATTAGAAACACTCTTAAGCAACTCAGAAAAATTAACTTTGAAAGTTTGAGTGCAAGTTGCTAAAAGTGCAGAAAAATATTCAGAAAAAGTGTGAGAGCTTTTGAAAGATTTGAATGAAAGTTGTTCTATGAGTTGTGTTATGAGTTATATGTTCTAATGCCTTTATATAGGCTTTCCAATCAACCATAACAACTCTAGGGAAATGTAGGTTTCATTTGGAATGAAACACTTTCATTTGGGGTGAAAACCTTTCACTTTGAAATTTGAAAACTGGTGTGACAGTTCTCAGTAATAAATTACAACATGTGGGTAATCGATTACCCAAACATCCTGTCCAATTGTATTTTCAAAATTTACACAATGTAATCGATTACACACTTTGAGTAATCGAATACCCAAATGTTTTGTCCAACTGATTTTGAAAAATTCCTTAGTGTAATTGATTACATACTTTGAGTAATCCATTACCAAATGTTCTGTAAGTGGTAATATGTTACTCAAGGACAATAATGGATTACTCTGAGCAGTTGGATGTTGGATAACTCATTTCTCACACATGTAACCTGTTACTCAAGTACAATAACTCATTACACACTATTTTTGAAAATTGTTTTGATTATACTTAGAGTGTTTCAATTTTCTTTAAAAATATTTTGAGCATTACTACTAAAGTATATTCGAGAGTATATGATAGAAGTACCTATTTAGACTTAGTCTATTTTGTCTTGAAACTTTTTCTTCTTTGTCTTCATATGTATTCTTCCTTTCTTCTTTTTGGTGATGTTGGTGTATTCATCAAAATTGTGTCAGGATCAGGAGAAAAGATCTTCTTCACATTGTGGAGATACTCCTTATGGTGGAGTATGATAGTTCTTTTGAACTATGATTGTGGGCTAGACAATTGTGGTAGTGGTTGAGGCTTTCCAAGGAACCTTCAAGGTTCAGTTTGACTGAGTATTGAAGAGGACAGTTGTTGGTAAACTTTTATGTAGAAATTTCATATATCGAAAGACTTCCTAGTAATAAATGGCTAGGCGGCATGTTCCATTAGATGGCGGTACGTGAAGGTGCACTAAAAGTGTGAAGAGTTAGGCTCTTGGTAAAATCATCAAGGATACCCAGAAAGGTTTATGCTATAGGGGAGCAGACTCTTCTGCGGGTGAGTTGTTAAAGGGAATTAGGCATTGAGCAAGATGGAGTCAGATATTCGCTAAGGTGCAAAATCTTTAGTAGATTTCCTAGTGAGCGAGATATTCGTCTATTCAATCAAGGTGAAGATTGTTGGGATATTTGAATTATATTATTGTATTAGTCACACATTGTCTAGTATTGAAATTGAGTAGAGTAACCAATGTTATATATTGGACTCAAATCCCTTGTTATAATGTGCACCAAATAGAAACACCCCATGGGCACTTGGGACCATGGGTGTGGTAGAGCTTGTAATCCTTATTCTCTAATAATATATTGGTAGTCGCTCATCGCTCCCGGGGACGTAAGAACAATTAGTCGAACCTCGTTATCAAATTCTCTTGTTTCTTCTCTTCTATTTATTCTATTCACTTTATTTGATTGCTTGTAATCAACGCTGCGCAACGATCGCTTCCGCTACACCATCGTTACTCACTCTTAAGATGCAACAAAGTTACCTGATCCTAGTAGTTATAGGAGACTTATGGGAAAGTCATTATACCTAACTCATACTAGGCCAAAGGGCACCTTAGCCAATTCCTTTCTGCTCTAACTGATAGACACTAGGAAGCTGCTATGGGAATACTCAGATACATCAAATGATCTATTGGCATTGGAGTGTTTTTCTCTACTGATAGTGATTTAAAACTAAAAGGATATACTAAAAGGTGTATGTCTTAACACTAAAAGGTGTGTGTCTTGTTATTGTTTCTTTCTAAGTTCTTCACTTATCTCACGAAAAAGTAAGAAGCAACAAATTGTGTCTAGGTGCTCTATAGAGGCTGAATATAAAGCCTTGTTCTTGGCTACTTGTGAGGCTCAATGGATGCTTCATCTTTTGTTGGATTTAGGAATTGCTAATATTTCCCCTGTTCACTTTTATTATGATAACCAATTGTCGCGCCCCGATTTTCGGCTGCACGACTTTGTTAGAGTCGCCACTACATTTTATAGTAAAAAATGTTGAAAAATCTGTTGGTCCGATTACATTAGGCATTGGATTTTGATATCCAAGTTCGGGAGTCGGTTACGAACTAGAGAAGGAATTAGTACCCTATCCGCCCATTTTAAATGGTACCCTCGCTAAATTGCATGGCTTAATTTATACTTTAATGTTATTTGGTTATTTAATTAATTATTAAAAAGAACAAAATTTTATTTTATTTTTGTTGTGTCTGACAAGATGTGATATTGCTCATACGTATCCCTATAAAGATAAGGAATCAAGACTAAGTAGTTTTTTAGGTATAAAAAGTTTGTTGGTTGAGTTGATTTTATTATTATTATTTTTAGAAAATGTGATGTTTAATATTAACTAATTTTATATTAAAATGACTGAAGTACGACCCTTGTATTCGATACCGCATCTCATATTTAAATATTAGTTAAAGATATTCATCACCTTTGTGTTTAAAAGATATTTATAAAAAAAATGTTAATGTATTTACCTATCAATTCTAAGAAAGTGAAGTGCAACCCTTATGTCCGACACCACATATCTTAAAAGAGATATTTGAAAATTACTAACCATGAAATACATAATATACCCCTTAATTCTTTTTTTACTAAAATTAAATGCACATGGAATTAGGATAAAGCAAATAAATAACATAACAATGTGTGAATAAAGAAATAGGATTAGATTAAATGACAAGATGAGGGCATTGTAGTAAAATAGAATGAGTGTGATTAATTGAAAGGGGGTTACCACAATTTTCACGGCCCCAACAGATGTGAAAGGTGAATATAATCCCTAAATCATCCATTCCCACTTCTCTTTCAATCTTTCTATGCACTTGAGTACTTACGAGAATTAGGAATTTGCAACTTCAGGTTTGGATTCTTCGGGAAGATGGTGTTTATCTCCTCTGATTCACTACCAACTCTTACTCTTTTATCCTAATGTGATGCTCTCAATGTATAATTTTTAATTCCCTGCTGCCAATAATCTTCATTTCCCCTTTCTGAATTCCCCTCTAGTATGCTTGTTTTCTTTTCTTTCTGAATTATTTTCTTCTCCCTCTGCAGTGATTGAATGCAGTCTATACTTATAGCAAGGAAGGGAGGGCACATGCACAATAATGAGAGGATTCTCCCATTAAAGCGTTGGAGCAATAACGCTTAGGTGCTGTATGCTATAAATTCAAATGTATTTATTGCTTGATTTAAGCACATGTAATTGCTTTGTATTATTTCAATGGTTCCAATTATTGTAGTGTTAATTCAAATGCTCAATCACTATTTGAATTAAGCATATGACCAACGGCCTGAGTTATTGTACCGTAGTGCAAATTTTGTTGTAATTTATTGTCAAACGATATACAATCAATTGATGTCCTTGAATCTAGCACATGGCCTAAGTTGTAACAAATCAAACACTCAAAAAACTTGTGTAATCGAGACATTGAATCCATTAAGTTTCTTTAACAAAATATTTTGATATTTGTGTTATTTTTTTATTATATTTGGGAAAGGTATTTTGGGCCAGACAAAATTGAGTACTTACACCAATCTATCTTATGCATAGTTGCAAACCCCATTTTGTATGAAAGAACAAAACATATGGAAATAGATTGTCCTTTAGTTAGAGCAAGAGTTCAATCTGGTTTGTTACATTTACTGCATGCATATTCCAACTTATTCTCAAATTGATGATATCTTAACCAAGACTTTGTCTCCTTATCTTTTTAAAGTTTAAAGTTTTCTGTTCCAAGCTTGGCATGCTCAATATTCATATGTCAAGTTATTATAATCAGATCTTGTAGAAGAAAAATAATTACTCATGGATGTTGCTGCTGGAAATATGGTTGCTAATATTTTTGCTTAAAAGGGTTGCTTGTTTAGTTTAGTAATTTTTCGTTTTGGGCTTTTCTTGTATTAGGCCTTGGGTAACTTAGTTATATTTAGGATACTAGTAAGTTACCCGTGCATTTTCATGGGGCAAATACATTTTTACGCATGGTTAAGAACTCAACTGCTTGTAAAACATGACATTTATTTCAAAATGAAAATGACACTACAGTAACTCGTCTTTACTTAGATACATTACTATTCAAATTGTTTAAGTTTTTATTCAATTTTCACGGATATTGCATTGTTTTCATTGATTTTACAATACATCATATATGTAAGAGTTTTGCAGTAATTCAAAACATGTAAATGATTAAATAAACATTACCCAATAAAACAATATCCAAAGAAACAAAAAAATAACAAAATACATAAATGTTATCACATGTGTGGAGAATCCATACTATAAAGAATACACTCATTTATGCAAAAATTACCCTTGCATTCGCACGGGGCAATATTTTATTGCCGCATGATAAGAACACACGTGTTGCCCGTGTATTCGAATGGTTAAGAATGCACATATTAAACATACATTCGTATGGTTAAGAATACATTTACACGCGCATTAACATGGTTACCACACACGTTACACATGTATTTTTAAGGTTAAAAACACACATGTTACCCATTCATTCACATGGTTAAGATTCATATGTTACTCATGCATTTTCATGGTTAATAATGTACATGTTACCCATGCATTCACATGATTAAGAACACACATGATACTCGTGCATTCATATGGTTAAGAACGCATATGTTATCATGTATTCACATGATTTAGATCGAACATGTTACCTGTACATTCGCATGAGACAAATTTATACAAAGGGAGAATATGAGTAAAATGTGAGAGGCCAACAAATGAGATGAATAAGCAGAACCTAACAATAGATAAATATAAAATTTGCAATATCATCATCCACAACTATTTTTGCAGACATATCTTAACATCTCAAATGAATACCATAATGACCAATAAACGAAGACTATGTTGTCCACTTCCAACTTCATTCAAAACAAATATTGACAAACAAAGTAATTCACAACAAAAATAGTCAATAAATGAAATCTCAGAAGTTAAAATGACAACTTTTTCACTTCCACTTAAACTATGGTGCTAAGACCATAAAAGTATCTTCAAAATCAACATTAATCTAATTTTATTAAAGAAATTATTTGTTAAATGAAAGTTATGAATGAACGTCTGACAAAGGTGGTGCATAAAAAATGCTGAAGGAATTGTGTGTCTATCCATAAATACTTGTTGAATGGCAAACCGTTCACCTACATATTCCAAAAGGGAAAATTGCAAAAATAAAAAACATTCACATAACACAAAATTCGCATATCGAACTAAAATTAGGCATAAATGAACACTTTTCTTTTGAACTTTAATTGAAGTGATGAAATAGCGTTAATTTAAAAATAGACAATATAGGCTACTCTTTCTAGTCTTTGGGAGAGAACCAAAACATCATAATGATGAAGATTTCAAAATGGGCGATTAATGGAAACGAATGGTCTAGAAGAAATGAATGTGTGTCATCTTAGAGAATGAAATTTTAAAATATGATATTATGATGTGAACTGAATAGAGTGTGGGGGAGTACATTGTAATTGTGTGAACCATTTTAAGCGGAAAATTTTTTGTTGAGAGTATGACACGTGTACTATGTGTGTTGTCTTATTTTTTATTTAAGTTTATTATCTGTTTTTTATTAGAATTTGTACTTCATTATTAACAAATGAAGTATTAATGGTTGAATAATTCAATGTCATATTTTTTTTTACTTTTGTTCTCTTTTATAATAATAATAATTATTATGTCAATTGGGACTATCAAGAATCCCATAATTCTTATGGCGAACATCGTGTAGGCTTATCAAACAATTATTTGTTTGTGGCGCCATCCATTCCACATATTTTTCTTATTCATATCATTTCCAAACACTTAACTAATTTCAATCAAAAGGATTATAAAAAGGCAACCCAAACTGTTGTCATCAATATCTAAATTAGGTTTTTATTGTAAACAACTTATCAAATGATTACTTATATATTGCATTTTATTTTATCTAAGTTATGACATAATATTACTAATATAGTTTTAGACATGCTTTTAAGCATGTGTATAATAAGATTGTTACCTAATATACGAATAACATATGTATTATCAATCATGTAACAAAACAAATATCGTCCCGTGTGAATGTATCTTCTATTCGTTAAAATGGGGTAGTCAAAGTAAATTATTTATCAAAATGAGATAGTCAAAGTTAACTCATCGATATACTATATAATAAAAAAGGTTATGTCATGTCATCTTATGACAAGTGTCACAACCTCAACAAAAAATTTTCCTCGTAAAACACCTCACTTTTCTTAATGTAGAGTCTTTCGCACAGGATAAAAGTACACCCTACCTATTGTTCATTCTATATTATATTATTTAATAACATATAATAATACTAAAAATGATGCACCACAATAAAGACATCTCACTTTGTACAACTCACATGCATGATAAAAATACATTCATGCTTATTGTTCATTACTCAATATATTATTTAGTAAGATATAATAATAATAATAACAACATTTAATATATATATTATATATCAGGAAAAAATTCAACACTATTCATTTTCATATGTGCCACAACTACGTTCATTTTTTCCGTGTCCAAACTTCGTAGGCTAGCATAATTACATAAAGGAAATAGTAATTACTAAGAGAGGATACCCTATGATTGACACTTGGATTTTTTCAAGGGCAACTTTGTCATTGCATAATGATTTTTTGAATATTATTGTAATGTAAATTGTATGATATATTTCTTTATGTATACATTTAATATTGTAGTGGATACTTTAGCTATTTCTTCTTTACTACATTCATCTCATTTACGAGTAAACTGTGTTTTTAATCATTAAAATATATGAGTCACATGTTTGTTCTTAACAATAGGAATACACATATAACATGTGTATTTTTAACCATGCGAATATATGAATAACATGTGTATTTTTAATCATTTGAATGCACATATAATATATATTATTGATCATGCGACAAAAGTACCGCCCAACGCAACGTCTTAAAGAGAGCGATTTGGTCGTGACTCAATCAGTAAATATTATTTCGTGCCATTTAGAATTGCTGCAAGTTATGATAACAACAATTTTAAGATGTTTCCTACTGCAATGACATCCATATGCACAGGGCAGTATTTTTTGCCACATAATCAATAGCACACATGTTACTCATACATTCTCATGGTTAAAAATATACATGCATGTTACTTATACATTCACATGGTTAAAAATACACATGTTACATATGCATTTGTATTGTTAAGAAAAAATATGTGACTCGTATATTTACTAATTAAAAACACATATGTTACTCGGAAATGAGATGAATGAAGTAAAGAGAAAAAGTTACATTACATAAATATATCATAAAATTTACTTTACAATGATATTATTAAAAAATTCATTATATAATGACAAAATTGCCCTTGAAAAATCCAAGTGTTAAGCATAGGGTATTACTTTTAGTAATTACTATTTTCTCTATTATTATGCTAGCCTATGAATTTTGGACAGAAAAAATGAATGTGGTTGTGACACATGTGAAAATGAATATTGATGAATTTTAGAATAAATGAATTTTGTATTTATCAAATGATTCAGCGTATGCGTGTCCATGGTAGATGATGAAGATGTTTGAGAGAGAAATGTTAGAAATTCATAATTTCTAATTAAGGTGGGCATCATATATTTATACAATTATATCGGCTATTTATTTTCAGGGGTATAAAATAAGTTATCTTATTACTGACAACCCTTGTGACTTCTAAAATAAACTGAAAATGAATATGGGCTTCATGAGTGGATACCCCGAGTAGTTAACCCATAGGGAATAATGAGAACCCTATTAAATTAACACATCAGGAAGGTTATGGTCCCAATACACCAAATAAAACATAATTTTCATCTCTCCCCATTAGAGAAAAAACGAAGGTCCCAAGAAGAATTAAGGATTTGGTTGAGGAAGACCATCATACCAAAACCTCTCTATGAATGTATACAAAGGAACAAATATGAGAACATGGATTCAGGTATGACATTGATTGACTTGTATCATTGTTTTACATATTGTGTGAGAATCATAAGATTCAAGATTTTAGGATTGATATTTCACCAATTAATAGAGAATCATAACAAGTGGTATTAGAGCACTAGGTTCTGAATTTTATGATTCTCCATTAAATGTATTAATTTATGAACCCTAATTTCAAATTTGAGAGATTTTCATGCTTTCGCTATGGTTATAATTTTTTTTGGGTATTTATGAATAATGTGGATAACTCTTATATGCTTCCACTTATTTGAATCATGAGTAATTTGTATTATGAATCCTTGTAACATGTGTTGAAG